AATCTTCCCTGGCCAACTCCAACTCTCACAGTGATCTGCAAACCCACTTTTGTGTTCTAAACATTCCCAGGACTCAGGCTTGATCACATATTTTAAAGATTCTCTCCCTGCAGGCCAAGATGGCTCAGATGGTAAAGACATTTACCACCAAGTCTGACTACCTGAGTTCAGTCCTCAGGACCCACATGGTAAAAGTTGAGAATCAACTCTCTGTCTCTATCTCTGTCTCTGCCTCTCTCTGTCTCTGTCTCTCTCTCTTACACACACACACACACACACACACACACACACACACACACAATGTAATTTTAAAAATTAACATTCCTCGGGCTGCCTTTTCCTCTAGGCAGTGGTTGCATCCTGTGTTTGCAGTGAACAGTATCACTCTTCCCTCATATGGCAAATACTTCCAGAGCACCTAGCATGTGCCAGGAATTGTTTGAAGTGTACAGACATCCTAGAAAACCTCAAGAAGCTTTTTATTCTTCTTTCTTGGTGTTGAGGATTGAGCCGAGGGTCTGACATATGCTGGGCAAGTACTCTACCACTAAACTAATCTCCAGCCCCAGGAAGAATATGTCAAAGTAGAAGGGAGAGCCAGGCCAAGTGGTAAATGCCTATAATCCCAGCAATTGGGAGGCAGAGGTTGGAGGATCAAGAGTTTAAGGGCATATTCAGCTACACAGTGAGCTCAATGCCAACTTGGGCTGCAGGAGACAATCTCATGAACTTGAGAGGGGGTGGGGTTGGAGGGGGAGATGAGAGGTGGGTAGAAATGACGTAAATACAGCATTCACCTCACATGAAAATCTAAAAAAGTTTTTTTTTAATTAAAAATGATGACAAAGTAGAGAGATTTTTTAAGAAGCAAATCAATAATGCAAAGTGGCTATTAGTGCTTATGTTATATTATAAACACTGTTTATTCATGTAACAACCAGCTACTAGGCATCTTCAGCATTGGGAAAAGACAAGGTCTGATTCATTTGGCCAGTGCCATACCTGGGGGTCCGAGCCTTTGGGGAACAAACTGCATCCAAACCACAGAAATCACAAAACCTATTTTAAAGAATCAATGCGGTAATGCACACAATGGTAAGCATTCAATGTCATGTTTAAAATGATATTGGTACTAGGAAAGGATAAGAAGAGAAACACTCTCTGGCTTTATGTTCACCTTCTAAACCGTACGCCTAGTACTCCTCAGTCAGTGACACCCACCAATCTCATTCCTGTGACCTACATTAGGAACACAGCAGCAGTTTCTTTCAAGCCTTGGAGCAGCTACAGCAAACTCCCACAATACACTTCCACTCCTTCCTCTTCCTTTACTGCGCACCCTGTGCCTCATATGCACCTTCAGGCCAACAGATTTCCACAGGTTCTAGCTTCCCACAGGCAGCAGCACTGCTTTCTCTTCTCCCTTCCTCACCTCCAGAGAGTTGAAGCAAAGGGTTGCATTTCAAGCCTATATTCCAGGAAATGTCCCCACCCACCAATGCACAAATCCAGCTCTGAGGGCCTCCTTACTGCCCTGGGTCAAAGTCTCAAGTTTACTCATCCACTTATTAAAAGTGTTCCAGTGCCTCTTGCTTCACCATCAAACACTTAATCCCACAGAAAAGGTTCCAGAGGCCCTGCCCAGCCTTGTTCTCTGAATCTGAATCATCAAACAGTAGAGGACCAGTTAATGGCCCCCACAGCCTGCAAGATAAATAAAAACGGTACTTTGCAAAAAGTCTAAGTCCTGTCTTTCGGGGCAAGCAAAGTGGTTCAGTGGGTAAAGGCACTTGCCACACAAGCCTGACGACCTGAGATCCTGGAACCCAGAGACTCCACAAAGTTATCCTCTGACCTCCACACGCACACACAATGTTAAATAAAAAATTAAAAATAACAAAGTCTACAAACTCTCCGTTTCCCATAGCCTCTTCATGATGGCCATTCAAAACACAGCCTCAACGTTAAGCCAGCTTCTTCCTTGCACCTGACAGGAGCTCTGCTGCCTCATCTAGAAGCCCTTAGCTCCTCTCCCATTTTCGTCCTTCCTTAGTCCTAGAGGCACAGTTCAGACAGCTCCCATCTACAGTGGTTACTTCCCAGAGGCAATTCCCAGCCCATTAAGCACTTGACCACACCCCCGTACTCCTGCACATTCACACACACCTTGTACTTCAGGACTAGAAGATGGCCTCTCAGTGCCCACCCAGTTTCTTTCTGGTCTGGAGCACAAGCAAGCTTTTCACACCACTCTTCTCACTGCACCTCCAACCTCTGCTTTACCAAGTTACCTGTCAGGGTCCAGCTCTTTCCTCTTCAATGCAGTAAACCTTTGGGCTAAGGGGACTTTCCAGCCATTAAAGTCATACTGTCCTTGGCTATCCATAAGCATAGTTCTGAAATCAAATAGAATCTGACTCTGTTCCAGTCCCAATTAACTCTGGCTAGCTTCACAGCAGGATAAAGTTACATGTTCCCACCAAGAACCCCAAGTTTGGGGTTAGTTTTGTGCATATCCCATATTAGTTCAGTAACTTTGAGCTAGGGTTAAAATGGAGATGGCCTAGCCCCCAGACTTTGTACTCTCAGGATCTCAGGGATCAAATGAAATCTTTGATGGAAAGGTTATTTCTATAAAGTGCAAAGTACTATACATTCATAAAGGATGTGATTCCCAAATTTTATTAAATTTAAGCCAGTGACTATAAGATATGTGATCATCAATTTTTTTAATTAAAAAAAAACTTCAACTAGGACACATCTGTGATTATAAGACAACCAGGTTTCAGTGGTATTAAAGCATGAAAGTGCAGTTTAGAACTAACTTAATAAACTGTCTCAATAAAAACAAGAAGCTAGTGCTCAGTAACACAAGCCAAGCAAATGAACCAACTCCCCATGAGCATATTCTTAAGCCAAATTATCACCTCTCACTGCAATTGCGCAGCAGGAGGCTTCTTAATGGCAGCTCTCCCCTTTAAATCATATTCCAGCCTGCTCAAAACCCTCAAAAGTCATATGCAAACTCTGTGGCCCAGCATTCCTAAAGTCCTTCCTCATAATCAAGCCTCCTCTTCCACCTATCACCGCCTAAGTGTCTGCCTTTCTCAGAAGCACCACCTCCACCAAGAGGTCTCTCTAAGAATATGTCCCAGTAGTAATCATCAGCTGAGCAGCTCAGCTTCCCCTCCCACTGCTTATACTCAACTCTAGGCCCCTGCTGCTTACGAGGAACCTGATTAGCGGGAAAAGAAGGCATAGGAGAGGGGAGGAAGAGGGAGCAGAGGATAGAGAAAGGGGAGAGGAGAAGGGGGCTAGGAGAGGCAGGACAGGGTACTGCCTGAGTTCAGGGTTCCAGGCATGCCTCTATCCCTCACAAAGCTAATCCTACATTCTAGAGTGTGAAGGCCTGGGTGCTGGAATTAAAGGCTGCCTAGAAAAGATTAAATGCAAACTATACAATCTGCTCTTGAACTGCCCCTGTGCTGGCAAAAATCTTGCAAATCGGCACCTCCACCTCAGTCAATTATTCACCAGAGACTCGAGGACTGGCGAGGACTGGCGCCCAACTTCTGGCCCTCTACTTGTTTCTCTGTTTTTTAAGAATGAGAGAGGGTGAGTTAGGGAGAGGTTAACTCATTCCACAGTGGCCCTATTCACTTTCCACCTCTTTCCATAAAGGTTTTCTTAAAATGCACATAGGCGAGGTTCGGTGAACCATGAAGTCACTAACACCTTTGAGAGAAAGTTTTATTGCCTGGGCAAGAAGTTTAGGAAAGGGAAGGAGGGAGAAGTAGAAAGAAGGCTGAAAAATGAAGTGAGTCTATTAAGAACGTCGCTGAAACCATCCGAAGGTTTTGCCGATTGATCCTTCCTTGCTGGGGAGGGAAAGCAGTGGACCCCTCCCAAAGGAAGCTAGAGAGATTTTTTTTTCCGTTCCTTTGGGTAAGGTTCCAGTACCCAAGGCACAAGTCCACTGATGAGCTACTCTCGTGTGTGTCTCTCCCCCCACCCCAAGCCACTCATCTCCGACCCCCACTGTAGTCTCCTCTGGTCTGCAGTTGTCTCCCTGACAAGGCCCTCTTCCTCCACTGGCTCGCTTCAGAAAAGTTCCATCCTTCAAACGGCTGATCAAGCACAGGCCCCTCCAAGGGCCATTTCGGGTCCCTCCGCAGAGACCAAAATATCAAGCTCCTTCCCATGAACCCCCTTAAAAACCTGATTTATGCGTTTTTCCCAGCGCTCGGCCCTTCCTACTTCAGAGTCGGACTCGGCTCCTGCGTTCCCTGAGGGCAAAGTCTGGCCTCAACCAACCCACAGTGCCTGACAACAGTGGGGACTCGAGAGATGGATGCTTGCAAAAATCGCACTTGGGGTCCGAAGTCACCTATTTTAGTCACAGTTCGTCCCTTGTGGACTGACTTCCAGTAAAGCCAGCCTCTCGGTGCCTCAGTTGCCCAGACTGTACAATGGGAAGGCTCGAACGACCGGGTCCCTTAGGCCCTTTCCACTGTGACAACTGGGATTCCGCGAAAGCTCGCAGCCGCCGGGCGTGGCCCCGCCCCCTGGCGCCCAGCAGAGCCCGGGCTGGGGGCGCGCGGAGCAGCCTGCATCCCCGCCCAGCCCCGGGGAGAAGCTCTCACGAACCGCGGCCCCCTCCCCCACGCCGTGCACCCCGTGATCGCCGCGCCGGGCACTTCCGCGGCGGGGCGGGCGGCGGGGCGGGAGGGAGGCCCGCGCTCCCACCGCGGCTGCCCGCGCCCGGAGACCCGGGGTTCGAGCAGCGCCCGCGGCGGAGGCTGCGGGGAGGAAGGAGGGTTCGCACAGTACCTCGGGGAGGAGGCGCACGGGGCAGCGGCGGTCGCAGCGGCTGGAGGCGGAGGCACGGGCGGAGGAGGAGGTGCCGGGCACTCCCCCTCCCATTGTCCCCAGCCCGGCCAGGCCCGGCCCGCAGCACCCGCTCCGCCCGCCCCGCGCCCGGAGGTGCCGCCAGCCCTTACCTTGCAGCGCCCGGCTGTCCCCTCCGCTAAAGCTACTTATCCCGGGAAAGCTCGCGGGGCCCGGGAGCAAACCCACAGACAAAAAGTGAAACTTCGCAGGGCTGGAGCGGCTGCTGGTTGGTGCCTCTCCCCTCCTTCCTCCCCACGGTCCCCACCCCCTCCCCTCGGTCTCCCGTCGGTGCCCTGAGCGCTGGAGGCTGACGTCAGGGGCCTGAATTCCTGACTTTGCCTGCACGCATTTGTCCATGTAAGGTATGGGAAGGCGGGTGCCCGCGGACCGCAGCGCCGCGCTCGCCCGGCGGGGAGGGGGCAGCCGAGCAGCCAAGGTGGGCGCACCCGTGCCCGGGAGCTTCCTGGAGGAGGGGACCTGGGAATGCGGGGAGCTAGCAGAGGAGGAAGGGAAAGGGAATCTGCCTCCACTGGAGAAAGAGGAAGGGGAAGCGGCCCAGTCCAGGGGCTGCAGGAGAAACCAGGACAACTGTGGGTGGTATTCAGGCGCCAAACTGGAAGGCTGAGCCTGAGAGGAAGGAATCCCCTTCAAAGAGCCTCTTCGTAGCCCTGCCCTGAAGTCGAGCTGGACTCAAAACTTCCAGGACCTTAAAGCTGGCAGAGACCAGCTTCCATTCACTGCACAATGGAGAGTTCTGAAGTGCCAAGAGACAGAACTTGTGCCGGGTCCCACACTGTGCAGATCTAGGAGAGACCCTGCGCCCTGCTCCCACCCCACCTCCAGAGAGGACCCAGTCCCATGAACCCTGAGCTAAGGTAGACATGGGCAGAAGACGCCTACCACCCAGAGAAGTGACTAGCCCCAGTTCCTGGAAGGTTGTGAAGGTTGACAGTGAGCCCTGAGTTACTATGGCAATCAAGTGCTTCAGGGGCAACTTCCGCTATCCTTTGTTCAAAGACAAGAACCCTTAGAGTTTACGGCTTGCTTCCCGTCTCCCAGAAGCTTGCTCTGTGCTTATAACTTTAAAAGAAAATATGCGAACTGGGAGAACTGGTTTGAATTAAAGACAAGCCAGTTCCTGGAAGGTTGGAGTTGGATCTTTTTTTTTCCTGACATTTATAAAGGTGAGCAATGGTGAAAATCCCATTTACTGTGTTATGGGGTTATGTTAGGGGTTATGGTCTAGGAGACACTGAAGAACCCCTGATTGTGTTTCTCTCCTGTTCATATCAGAAAGAATAATCCCTCACCTAAGCACTTCCTCACCCACTCACTACATCTTCGGGTGGGTTTGCTCAGACTAATTGTAGTCTGTCTTTTACATCCTAGGAAAAGGAGGCAGACTGCCCAACACAAATCAACTGCCTGAGCAAATTGACCTCACTTCCGTCTCCCAGGCCAAGCACTTTCCTGGCCCTGACCGCTCGCAGCCCCTAACCCAGTCATGCATTTAGAAAGTACACCATGAACCACCTGTGCAGGCAAGCGCGAAATAGAGCTCTTTGGGGGTTAGATTTTGTGAAATTTTTGACTAAGAATTAAGCAGCTAAGTGTCAAAGTACATATCGTTGGATTTACTGAGCACATCTTCAGTCTTCACATCCAAACACATCGAGTTCACACTTCTTACCCTTTGCCCTCTCAACTTTCTCAGCTCCCTGTGCAAAAATAGGGATATAGAGCGAATATCCCGAGCCCCACGCAGCCCAGGGAATGATGAAGTGTTTTCTCTGTAGCTAACCTGCTTGAAGATGAGAAATGACCTCCTACATTACATTCTCAGATCACATTTTGTCACTGTCTTCAGCATTTCAGCCAATTCATGTCCTGTGTGCTATTATTTAGTATGGGAAAGAAAAATCCATATCACACAAGATCAGAAAAGACTCAACCCTGGCTCATTTAGGAATAACAGACCTTGACCTTTCCTCCTTCCTTCCTTCCTTCCTTCCTTCCTTCCTTCCTTCCTTCCTTCTTCCTTTCCTTTCCTTTCCTTTCTCATAACCCACTTATAAAGAATAATAGGGTTCTAATGAGGATTAATACAATTCAATAAGATAATTAGAGTCATTCATTTCCTAAATCATACACATTATAAGAGTGCTGGTTTGATCCAGAAATGCTACTAATTATGTTGAAACTGTTGAGTGTCCTGGGGGAGATCACTATGTTGCTTCCCCTGAGGTATTTATGCATTGCTCAGGTAGGCATGGTGCTAGGATGAGCACTACATAAAGCTAATCACAAAAGATCATTTCGACTCACAAGGCGCTTAAAGACCTATAAGCAACAAAGTCATAAACGGGATGCTTGGTGAACCACGTACAGGCTGTCAGCCGTCCTTACCCAAACCGAAGCCTCAGCCTCATTCTCATTTACTATTTTGCTTGCTTTTGTACTATCCTTTTCCCCTAAACTTGCTGTGTGTAGGCCTTGGGCCAGATAGAAGGTTGGTGTAAATGTACAGGCACTATACCATAGAAATACTGGTTTACTGTTTCAGAGAATAAAAGAAGCACAGAATTTCAGATACAGTGGGTGTGAGGGGGTCCTGTGACCTGAGTTTGGCACATAGGTGGTCTGAAGGCCAACGACAGCATTCTTTCTGGTCCAGTGATAGCACAAAAAATGGGCAGGATGGCTGACCCTGCCACTCCATTGCATCCATCACAATCCTGTATCCAAAGGTGTCTCTGCAGCTCATGACGATCCTTCTGGAGTGCTTATAACATGCCAGGCAACATCATGAGGATTTTCCCTATGCAATTTACTTAACTTTCACAAATCCTTTGGGAGTCTGCATTATTTCTGTAGCTAGTACATGTGGTAACTAAAACCAGGGGAAGTTAAGCAGCTTACTCCTCACACAGAGCTAGGATTTGAGTACACTGAGGCAACTGAGCCCAGAAGGCCTGGCACCACACTTCCCTCTGCTGAGTGGCCATCTGCTCTCAGAGTGAACACTCCTTCATGAATCATGAACTCCTGAAGGTAGTGGAGAGGAAGACCTATGAAGAGTCTACTAGAGAAACAGTAAGAGCAAGGGGGCAGGGAAGGTAGGAGGTCCGAGCTCTCTGATGGTGCTTCTCCCAGATTCTTCAGTGTGGTTTACACAGGCCTTAATGATTTGGCACACACTTGAGCCTTCAGCCTCCTTTCTGTAGCCCGGTGCCTAGCAATGGCCAGCTGAAGTTAGTAGTCTCTCCGGCACATCTCCCTGCTCTGTGCTCATTTGCCTCTGCACTGACTCTTCACCTGACAGCCCTTCAGACTCCTCTGGAATCTCCTCTCCCTTGAGAGGTCCTCCAGCTCTCTAGTCACCTCCAAACCTCCTTGTACATATGGAGTGCTTACGACTGAAACTTCAGACCATAAGACCCTGGACCAAACTGCTGGGTAGGTGTCCTCCCATGCTTTACTGAGCATATAATTTGCCTCAGAGTACTTACCATAAACCCCCCTTGGCCATTGTAGGCTGTGCTGGATAGCTTTGGTGTCAACTTGATACACCTGGGTTGAGGGAGCCTCAATTGGGGAATTGCCCCCACTGGACTGGCCTTGTAGCCATGTCTGTGGGGCATCTTCTTGATTGATGAATGATGCGGGAGGGCTCAGCCCACTGTGGGTGGTGCCACCACTGGGCACGTGGGCCTGTGTTGCATAAGAAAGCAGGCTGAAGCAAGGGCCAGGGGAGCAAGCCAGTAAGCAGTATTCCTCAGTGGCCTGTGCTCCAGCTTCTGCCTCGAGGTTTCTGCCCTGAGTTCCTACCTTGGGCTCCCTGATGAACTGTGACCTGGGAGATCTAAGACAAATAAACTCCTTCCTCCCCAAGTTGGTAGTGGTCAGAGTGTTTTGTCCCAGCAATGGAGAAACAAGCTAGAACATAGTCATTCAGTGCTTTGGATTTTTTTTTTTTCTTACTGTTGCTCCTGCCTACAGGCAAAGGAAGATGAAAAAAATATAGGGCCTACGTGTTTAAATAATCAGAGAAATGCATCAAGAGATTAGCTATGGATCAAGCAGGACTGTTGGGACGATAGAGGAAAAATCAGAAGAGTACAAACAAAAACCAATTTGGAAGCAAAACCAAACTCGTTCATGGTGGGATACAGGAGAGGAAGGTCTTTAGGCCCTGACTTGCTTTAAAATTGTTGTACAACGTCTTTAGGAGTCACTTCCTCCATGGTCTCAATTTCTTTTACCTTGCAATTAGATTTTTGGATTTGATGTTTTACAACGTTCTCTCCAGCTCTCAGGCTTGATGCTGCATTCTCCACAGTAACTAAATCCACTTCCTCAAAGCATGGCATGATATATTATGTCTTGTAAATGTGTCTCCCAAAGACCCATGTGTGGAGACTTGGTGTCGCAGTGTTGGAACCTTTAGGTGGTGTGGTTTAGTGAGAGTCATCTGAGTCATTGGAGGCCCTGATCTTAAAAGTGCTGATGAGGTAGTTCTCCTGTGATTCTGCTATTTCTCATAAGACAGTTGTCATAAAAGGAGCAAGCCTGATCCTCCCCTCTCTACTTCCCAGTTTTCAATGTGGCATGCATTCCTAAGACCCTGTCCATCACCCTCACCAGAGGCCCAACTAATGGGGTACCCAGCATTGAACTGTGGACTTCCAAAATTATGAGCTACAAAAACCACTTTTCAATAATAGCCTGCCTCTGGTATTTTGTTATATTGTCATTTATTTGATGAAGCAGAACCAAGCACATTAGGCATTTTTAATATTTGATTTGTCCTGTAATACACTTGAGTATAGTTCTCTTTCTAAAGTTATAATACCAGTATACAGTACAAACAGAGCTTCTGGATGGTGGTGAATCTAGTCCAGTCAGATGAGCATCAGCCTTTTGGAAAGAGTGAAAATTAGTTGCCATCAATAACTATGGAAGGATTGTCTTGAATGCAACATTAATGATAATGAAAACTTTCATGAAAGATTTATTTTGTTCTTTATAATAGGGTACAATGGAGGAAAATAATCTCACTGTGAAAAAAAAAGTTTATATCATAAGACTTCCAAAATAAAAGGTTTCTCCCTTTATCAATGCTAGGATGTCTCATCACATCCTACTTTCTCATTTTCTTACAGGAGTTCTGCCAATGTGGGCAAATAACAGCTTACCCGTATTAGGGGTTCTGCATTTTTACCATTTCCAGCATGTGGCTGTAGA